TGCTCCTTGGAGGCAAGGATTCTGGGGCTTCGCCTGACATACTTTGGACATGTTGTAAGGAGAGACAGGTCTTTGGAGAGGGACATCATGCTGGGCAGTGTGGAGGGACAGCGCAGGAGGGGAAGACCCTCTATGAGGTGGATTGATTCAGTGACTGGGGTAATTGGGATGGGTGTGTCGGAGGCAATGAGATTGGCGTGGGATAGAGCAGGGTTTAGGGCTGTTGTACATAGGGTCGCTATGAGTCGCAAGCGACTCGACGGCACATAACAACAACAGCAACAAAGTTGTTTCCTTGTTCTGTTTGCACAGCAGCATCTTGGTCATGGTATCAGTTTGTCACGAGCACCGGTAAGTGCTCTGAGATTCCCATTCTTCTCAGTGTTGGCCATAACTTATTGTGATCTGCACAGTCACATGCCTTTGCGTGGTCAATAAAGCACAAATAGACAATGTTCTTTAGAGGCAAACTTGGTTTCATATACTGTGGGCATGTTGTCAGGAAGGAGCCAGCTGGCCCTTGGAAAAAGACATCACAGCCACACAGCCATTTCATGCGGTCACCTTGGGAAGACAGCGAGTTTAGCTTTGGGGAGCTTCTGTTGCTAGTCACCAGATGGCGCTCCAGGGTCATAAATGGCCTTTCTGCTGCTTTTCCTGGCGTTCTAGTCTGAGGGAATACACATCACCAGCAGCTTCATGCAATCTATGCCATCTCCTTCAGGGTTACAGCCTCTGAAATGCAGTGAAGGCTTGATAAGGCGAGCATCCTTCCAGGCAGCAGCTGTGTCTGTCCCACACTGTGTTCCCCCTAGTCCACCAGGTTGCCTGCCGGAGAAGCCCCTTAGCAGGCACCTGGACCTCAGAGCTTACAGGATTCTGACCCCCGAGCTTGTGAGAAACCTAGGGGCCCCCATCTCCCTCCAGACCGGATCACCATCCGTCCTTCGGATGCTGAGCAGGTTGCAGTACAGTGGAAGGTAAAGTTGGACCCGTGGCGTCTTCTTGCTGAGAGTGTTTGTCTTTTCTCAGTACTTACCCCGGATCTGACGACCAGAAGGTGGCACTCAAGGCCAGAGCGTGGCAAGAGTGGCCGGCATTCCCCACAGGGAGCCAAAGGGACCGCTCAGCTGCCCCCAGCCCACCTCCAGAGGGTGTCGGGCCCCGAGGTCCTCAGGCTCCTGAGCTGCCCAGGGACCTGGACGGCCACTCCAGCAGGTAAGAACTGGGTTTGGTGAGTGACAGGATTGTCATCTGGAGCCAGACACAAGTGTTTCAGGAAGGGCACCCCAGGGCTCATAGCACCCTTGTTTGTTGTTGTTGTTATGTGCCGTCGAGTCGTTTCCGACTCATAGCGACCCTATGCACAACAGCCCTAAACCCTGCTCTATCCTGCGCCATCCGCACAGCCTCTGACACACCCATCCCGATTACCCCAGTCACCGAATCGATCCATCTCATAGAGGGTCTTCCCCTCCTGCGCCGTCCCTCCACCCTCCCAAGCATGATGTCCCTCTCCAAGGACCCGTCCCTCCTGGCAACATGTCCAAAGTATGTCAGACGAAGGCCCAGAATCCTTGCCTCCAAGGAGTAGCTTGGTTTAATCCTCTCCAAGATGAATCTGTTTGTTTTCCTGGCAGTCCATGGTACATTCAGTACCCTTCTCCAGCACCACAGCTCAAAAGCATCCACTCTCCTTCTGTCCTCCCTAGTCATTGTCCAACTCTCTGATGCATAACAAGCGATTGCAAAGACCATGGCCTGTATCAGGCGCACCTTAGTCTCCAGAGAGACACTGTTGCTCCTGAGTACCTTTGAGAGGTCCCTAACAGCAGACTTTCCCATTGCGATACGCTTTTTGATTTCCTGACTGCTGGTGCCAAGAGTGTTGACTGTGGAGCCGAGCAAACTGAAGCTGTGAACACTCTCAATCTCTTCGTCATCCATCCTGACGCTGCCAACTGGTCCAGTGGCGAGAATCTTTGTCTTCTTGACATTGAGCCTCAGTCCATACTGAAGGCTGCAGTCCTTGACCCTCCGCAGCAAATGCTTCAGGTCCTCCTCAGTTTGAGCAAGCAGGGTTGTGTCATCTGCATAACGCAGATTGTTAATAGATCTTCCACCAATCCTGATGCCACAGTTCTCCTCATAGAGCCCAGCTTCTCGGATAAAATAGCACCCTTGTTACACACGCCAATTAGCACAGGCTGGCCGATACTGCCCACAGAGCCAGGTAGGGCCAGGAGTGGGTCCCTCTCAAAGAAAAGCTCACCATTGGTGTGGACACATTCATTGTCAAGAAGCAGTAGGATGGTGCTTCTAACTCTGTCAGACAGGGAGACACAACCAGAGATCCCTAGCAACCTTTGAAAAGAAAGAAACCAACCAAACCAAGGCACTGGGTGGGTAGAAGGAAAAGAGGCAGCCAGCCAGGGGCCGACATTGGGTGCAGCGTGCCGTCTACCTCAGCCTTCCCACTGGTGCTGACTGAGGTGGTCATGTGGCGAGAGGCCCCTGAGAGGAAGGCAGAGTGCTGTGACACTCTCTCATGGAAGCAGGGGAGTCAGGACTCGAAGAAGGACTTGGAATTAGCCCGAGTCCAACAGGGCAGAAGCACAGCTCTCCACCCCCACTCTATCAGAGGATCCCACTCTCCATGGACTGCCAGGCTGATGTGATGTGTCCTGAGTGGTGCATGCACCGTCAAGATATGCCTGGACCAGCAGAAAAGGGGTGGGATCTATGAGTCCTCCAAGAATTCTGCCTTTGAAGAAGCTAGCAGAGCTGAAAGCCCAGCCCTCCCAAGGAAAGCCCCTCTCTGGGCCATGTAAGATCAAGGCAGGCAGATGGGCAGACTGGGTAAGAACTGCCCAGCCCAGGATCTAGAACATCCCTATCAATCATACCCAAGAAGGCAGCCAAGTAGGTTCTGGAGAAGAGGGCCAGGGAGGGGCACTCAGTTCATGCCTTGACTGCTCAGGCCAAGAACAACATTACAGCGCAGGGGCAGGGACAGCTTCTGTAGATCTCACACTACAGAAAGAGAGAGTGCTCCTGGAGTTGCCTTGGGGCCAGCCCGAGCATGCCATGCTTTCTCATCTCGTAGAAACACTGGCAGACTCTGTACGTACTGCACCCATGAGATTCAAGACTGCCCCAAGATCACCCTGCAACACCTTGGCATCTGCTGCCATGAATACTGCTTTAAGGTAAGGGCATTGCTGAACAAAACACTTCAAAGGGGGCTCCATCGCTGAGGAGTGGCACCCCATGGCTGACGGAAGCCAGGGAGCTGCCCCATGGGCGTGATGGAAGTGGGCAGGGTCAGTGCTAAGATCTGAGTGGTCATGTGACAGCACCAGCCGCGTTAAGCTGCTCAGAGGCACATTTTTGAGGGGCGTCTCAAGATCCCATGGAGGGGCCCCAAGGTCTGAGTCAGCAGGTCTGAATTGGTTGACCAAGGTATGGGGAGGCTAGATTTCTGGGTTTCTGTAATCAGAGATGTCCTCAGGGGCAGAGGATGGAACCAGGTTAGGGGTGAGGAGGCGGGCTCAGGAGCACTCTGAGTCTGAATCATTTCTCAAGCTGAAGGCCAGTCACCATGGTTTCACCAACAAGGATGCCATCTTGCAGATACCCAGAAAGTCCCCCCATACGTCCTGGCTGTACTTGGTCAGAGAGGACTAATGCTTGAGGAGGGTTCAGCTAGAATGGGCAAAAGTCCTTAGAAAGACTTAGGATTTGGGGTGAAGGAGCAGGGTGTCTCATTCTGAGATTTCAGACCTGGTTAAAGTTGAGGTGCTCACTCTCAGATCCCTAGATAGGAGCCCAGCTTCTCCCTGCTGTACCCCATTTCTTCCCCTCATTTGACTGCACAGCATTTGAGAGCATGGTCTTAGCTTGGGGACCCCGCTCCCTGTGGTAGAAGGTTCAGCACAGACCTGGTTTGCACAGCCAGGAGCAATACCCAGCTGTGTCAGCTCCACCAAATAGCTGTGTCCTCGAGACATAATCCAGGGTCCAGCCTGGTCACGTCTTCATGGAAGGGAGAGTATGGGTGCACGAACTGCTAAGCATAATTTCCTATCTAGCGTGTACATGCAGCCGACATTTGCCAGCACAATAGAAGCCCACCGTCCCATCGGCCCTTTCATCAGACAGCACACACTTTCGAGCCATCCACATGGGCCTCCCAGCGCTGCTGAGGAGGGCTGCTGGGTGCCCATTGTTAGGATGACCTGACAGCTATAAGCACCTCAATGGCCAAAGCTGCCAAAGCTCAGGATGGGTTTTGTTGGGGTTCGGGGCCAGGCAGTGACTCTCTTTGGGTGTCCACTTTCCCAGAGGCCAGTGTTTATGGCTCTGTTCTCTCTTCCAGTGTGGGGTTTGCAGTAAGCCCATGGGTGACCTCCTGGACCAGATCTTCATCCACCGCGACACTGTCCACTGTGCGAGATGCTACGAGAAGCTTTTCTAGGTGACTATCATCACCCCAAGGCCCAAGAGGCCAGCAAACACATATGGGAGGAAATCAGCTCTGGTCTTTCCTCAAAGTGCCACAAGACACATCTTTGGGGGGGGGGGGGGGGTGTATGCACACACACACATACCCCACTGCCAAAAACTTGATACCAACTCCCAGCCTCCTCCATCAGGTTTCCAAGGCCATAAACCAGAGGTACATTGTCACATTTCACAGTGACTGCTGGGGCCCAACTGCCAATCCCAGCCCTGTGTCCCTAGGTCCTGTGATACTTCGCAGCCTCAGGTAGCCTAGATTGAGACCTTTCCTGAGGACACTTCCAGGGCTCTTCCTCCAGGAAACACCTACTGAGCCCCTCAAATGAGTGCCCTAGCTGCCAGCTGCGCGTGCAGAGGCCCAGAGGGGAAGGGTCAGTGGATCACAGAGCTCTAGCTCATTCTCCATTGAATGGTAGCTCCGAAGGACGCCTACCGCAGATCAACTCTCCCAAGGAATTAAGGAAAACAAGGCCCAGCCGCGAGGCTGCGATGGGGCTGTCTTTCTTTCTGAGGAAGGCTCAGGGCCAGTCCTGCATGTTAAAGTCCCTGGAATTCCCCATGTCCCAGCAGTGTGTGGGACCCAGTCCCCACAGGACACATCTGTTCTGGAACTTTGCAGCTCCTCCTCCCCAGTCCTTTCTCAGCCCAAAGCAGGAGTGGAATATCACCTTGGAGGTGACTGCGACAATGCACACCCCCACTCTTCCCTGAGGCCTCTGCTCACTCACAAAACCCCCAATCCTGGCCCCTGGCAGTTCTTTCCAGTCTCATTTCTTCTTGTGGTTTTGTTCTGCTCCCCCAGGCTGAGAAGATGCTGAGGACCCCTGGACAAGGCCGGCTGGGCCTGGCTGCCCTTCTCCTCCTCTTCAGCTGTTTCCAACTTGTGTTTGCTTGTGTCCTGTAGTGTAGGTCTGTGACACTGACGGTCCCTTCACTGTCCCTTGGTTCTTTTGTGCCCATAAGCTTCTCTGAGGATCCATCTTGGCCTCCTGAAGAGGGCCAGAGTGTGGGCTAACCAGATCCTGCCTTGGCAGCCACTGAAAGGGACCATGTCCCTGAGGCTTTGAGGGGCTGTGCAGAGATGATGCACCCTGGGGACAAACTGTCTGTTTGCCATGCACATTGCTTTTGCTTAAGTCCTGTAGCAGGTGCCAGCATGCCTGGGAGCTGCCCACACAGGCATGTGGCCCTGCCTGGCCTGAGATCAGGGCTCTCTACAGGCACTGATGTTAGGAGGTGCCATTGGGACTCTGGGTAGCTTTGCCCCCCCAATTCCTATTCCCTGAACTATACACAGAAATGTCCTCAGGTAGGTTTTACGGAGAAAGCACTGAACAACATCTCTTGAGGACAAAGCACTGAACAACATCTCTTGAGGACAGACATTTTCGTAGAATAGTGGCAGAAACCTTTATAATGACCCTGGGAAGCAAGTAGCATAAGCGCAGTACACAGGATGAGGACACTGAGGCCCAGAGAGGTGGCCACTACATTGCCCTATGCCACACTCTCTCTGCCTCTCTCAGAGCTCATGCATACTCCATGCCAATGAACAAATAGTGTAGACCTCCTGGAGAGCGGGCCTGAGTCCCACCACCTACTCCCCGAGCCCTCACCCAAGGCTGCAGCCTCAGAGATGGGAAGGTGCGCCATGCCGCTCCTCTCCTCTGGAGTGGTCTGAGTCTTATGGTTGCACAGACACTGGGGAGCGAGCTTCCTTTTCCTGTGGTTCCTAATCAGACTAGCTTAGCACCCCACCTTTGGACACAATCGCAATAAATGTGCGAAAACTCTCTTTGTGTTAGTATTTCATTTCCCAAGCAGTGCTATGGTTCCTGCTTTAGACATGGAGCTAGACAAGGCTGTTCCTTGGAGAGGGACATCATGCTTGAAAAGATGGAGGGTCAGCAAAGGAGAGGAAGACCCCCAATGAGATAGACTGATGCTATGACCTCTGCTATGGGCTCTAGTGTGTCAGATGATGAGGACAGTACAGGGAAGGGTCTAGGTTGGCTGTCACAGAGTCACCACGAGTGATACTCAACCTGACAGCTCCTAACAACCACACACTCCCAGAAGTAACTGTCTTCAAAAGGCAGCACGTTAGGAGAGCAAGCATGGCAGGGTCTAGAAACTCTGCATATACAAGTATAGAGTTCTTCTTGTTGTTGCTTTGTGCCATTGAGTTGCCTGCGATGTATAGTGACCCCTATGTACAGCAGCTTGAAGCCTGCCCTGTCCTGAGCCAGTCTCACTAATTCTGACACACCAACCCCCATTGCCCCAATCACTGCATCAATCCATCTCATTTGGGGTCTTCCTCTCCTTCACTGTCCCTTCACCCTTTTGAGCATCATGTCCTTCTCCAAGGACCAAACTCTCCTGGCCACATGCCCAAAATAAGTGAGGCGAAACTTCAAAATCCTAGCCTCCAAGGAGAGCCTTATTTCACCCTCTCCAAGACAGACCTATTTGTTTTTTTGATGCTTCATGGTATGTTCAACACTTCTCCAGTACCACAACTCAAAGGCGTCAATTCTTTCATCCTTGATCATTGTCCAGCTCTCTGATACATAGCAAGTAATTGTGAAGACCATGGCCTGGATCAGGCACACCTTAGCCTCTAGACTGACATCATATCTCTTCAGTACTCTGGAGAGGTCCCTGACAGCAGATTTTCCCAGTACAATTCATCTTTTGATTTCCTGACTGCTGATGCCAAGACTGTTGATTGTGGAGCTGAGCAAGCTGAAGCTCTTAACAAACAACCTCAATCTCTTCTCCTTCCATCACAGTGCTGCAAGTTGGCCCAGTAGAGTTCTAGATGCTTCAAATATTGTTCGTGTGAAAAACTAGAACACAATTAGCTGTTGCTGTTGTCAATTATGAAGCAGCATCCCTGAGCACAAGAGAACGAAGCCCTGTCTGACCTGTTGTGTTCAAGTCTGCTGTCATGACCACTGCCCCAGTTCTGAAGTACTTCAGATTGGCTATTAAGATGGCCATGCATACTGTACAACTCTCCTCTCTTCTCTAGCCCATGGCAACTTGAAATCTGCTTTGGAGAGTCACCATATTACTAAGGAGAGACCTCTGGTGGCACAGTCCTCTTTGCCAATTCAAATCCACCAGCGACTCAGTAGGAGAAAGATGGACAATCTCCTCCCATGAGGTTTACAACCTCCCAAACGTTCCTGGGTGGTCAGCTAAGAGTCCATTCCCATTTGAAGGCAAAGAATGCTGAGTTGTCTTCTTCCAGGTTCGTCCTCCCTCTGTGACCATTGCAGATGCATGACTGCCTAGTCCCTCTTGCTTTTCACCTGTTAGTCCTCTAAAAGCTGGTGCAGTGGATAAAGCCTTGGGCCACTAAAGGATCCACCAGCCAAAGTGCAGGAGGAAGATGCGGAGGTCCTGCTTGTAAGGGTTGATGACCCTCAAGCCACATGGGTGGTTCTGCAGGGTCACTAGGGCTTGGGGTCAGTTTGATGGCAGTTGAGTGTAATTCTGAGTTTGCACCTCTGAGATCACTGTGTTAGATGAAAGGTTCTCCTGACCCCCCTCAGCTGTGCTGCCACCATGCATGCTGGACCTATTATCTGTCTAGACGGTACCTGTGAATATGTAGCACTCAAAGGCCCCCTCAGAGCTGTTCTGACCTAGTCTTGCCCCAGTTTGTACCGGTCACCAATTGTACATCATGACCTCTGATCTGCTTAGCATCACCATCAGAATGAGGAGGACACTGGTGGCATGAAGGCCCGAGCTCTGGGCTGTCAGCATCCTGGAGAACATCACGCTGCCTTTCAGGGGAGCTCTGCTCCTGTCTGGGGTCAGAAAATGTAGTTTTCATCAAAGGCCTAGACAGGAAAGACCAAAGACGGAGGGCCTGGAGCTTCAAGACCCCTCTGCCACTGTGCAAAGACTTGGGAGGAAGCTAAGTGAGAGAGGCAGAAATTTAGCTTCCTCCTAAGTCAGTCACCATAGCTGACCCCAACCAGTTCCTGGAGCCCTCACTTGATGACAGTATGTGACATAAAGATTTAAAATGGAAAAAAAAAACCTCACCATGGCCGACACTGGGCAAAGTATAACTGACTTGTACGGTTTCTGAAAGGGCAATCTAGGTAGAACTATCAAGTATGGAAATACAAAGGAGGAGGAACAGTTGTAAGCAGACCCTAGTGATTGGAACATGGAATGTGAGAGCCATGAATGTAGGAAAATTAGAAATTGTTAAGAAATGGAACGCATAAACATTGACATATTAGGCATTGGGGAGATGAGATGGACTGGCATGG